ACTGAATGCTCAACCACAAATACAACATTTGAATAGGAAACTTCGACAACGGTGCGTATCACTACGAATCCACTACCTATTACTAACGTACTACACATCAGCGTTATGGAATCAAGTCTGCTACACCAATAGGTGAATGGCATTTGCCTCAGAGTACCCTCCTAGCCGCCTTGGCTGCCTTCTGCCTCGCCCTGCGTTCCTTCTGGCTCTGCTTTCCCTTCCTAGAAGAGACACCAACAGTAGTCGCCGTCGACCTCTCTGGACTCCCTTCAGGCTCCCCTCCAGCCTTTGACGCATGCTGGTGCTTCTCCTTCTCTTGGGCGGCGACTCGTTATTGAGTCTGGACTTGGTTGTAGAGCAGTTGTCGTATCTGCTGCTCAGCCTCCCTCCTCTGTATGTTCAAGGGCTTCCATCAGCCTCTCAGTCTGTTCGCTCGAGACAGCAGCCGTCTTAGTGGATGCCTCTTTCATCGTATCCTTTTCCACCTCTACAATGATTTCGGTGACCTGTTTGTCGGCAACTTCTGGTGACGCATTCCTGGTCACGGGCGGCTTTTGCTCAGTAGTAAGATCCACAGCAGAGCCCTCCGTCTCAAGTGTAGCTACCTTGGTGGTGAAGGCCACATGAGCCTCCTCGACCTTTGATGTAGCTTGCTCAGTGGTAAGGGCCACAGGAGACCCCTCCACCTCCCCTTCCATGTGGAGTGTGACAGTAGTGGAGTGAGCAGCCTCCGGGGTCTCAGCAATCACAAGTTCCTCCCGTTCCCCCTTACTAAGAGCCACCAGATCGATCGGTGTAGGCCTAGGCTCAGGCGTGAAGGCTGCAGTAGTAGCTGGCGTTGGGGTCGGGCTGCTCTCAGCTGGCTGCTTCATAGACGGTAACGTGGCCAGTGGCCACTGGCCACACTGACCTGTGAGACAACCTCCACAGGCTCCTCAGAGCCTCCAGTGACCTCCTTATGAACCTCAGCAGCCGCCGTAATGACTCGACGGGAATCATGCTCTTGCGACGGCTCGCTGATTCGAACTGGTGGTGGGGTCGGACTCCTGGGCGACCCGAAACAGGAAGAGCAATAATTCCCCACGGGAAGATACCGAGTCCCCCGTCGGCAACTGGGACCTACGATGGAGCATTCATGGAGTCAAGAGTGCTGCTGTATGCTCCTCAAAACCGACTGAAAACCTTCGAAAATTGCATGTAACATGGCGTTGGAGACGTGGTACGGCCTGTCCCACTAGATGGAACTCAACAAGAGCATATCGAGAAATGACACGGCACTCACGAGCCGATTATAATCCAAGCTGCTGTCGAAGACTCTACCATGATAAAGGCGACCTAAGTCGTGCCCCCAATAGAGGCCCTTTGATCAGGAAAATAAGGGGTCCAACACCCATCAGGAACAAAGCAGATGTGAAAAATGACGTCCAATACTCGTCAATATCGCTCGTGTCACTGACTCAGGCGCTACTGCAATTCCTATTAGCGTTCGTATAACAACATACATCATGTAAACCGCGATAGCCTGTACTTGATGTCGTCATGAGCCCTGAGGGCTCATGTCTATGCACCCTCTTCACAATCCTCTCTGCACCCTCTCGAACACTCCATAATGACAATAGATATGTGTTACATATAGTAGGGAGGTTACTCATCTGAACATTGCCGCTGCGTCACACTCTCCGATGCAAACAACGCTTCCTCGATTCTCGTAGAACCAATAATGACTGAGCTCATGCTGATGATGCTGGCAAGGTTGAAGAGGGATGAGGGAGAGGGAATGCCGTGGGGCAATCACCATGTCAACAAACACAGGGATATCGATGCCACTACAGTGTGTTCGACTTTGATAGTCCGGAATGAGAAAATTTTGTGACTTGGCTAATTCGACGATTAGGAATCTGAAACCTCGAGCATTTCGAGGTCTATAAGTGAGCAATATATGAATATGTATAATCATTATCGATGACGAACCGTTACAGAGTTAGGGCGAGCCACGCATATTAGTCCTCGGCAGTAGAGTGAACGGAAGCCTTCTTAGCTAAACTCGATCACCACAGTGCAGGATCCACAACTGAGATTTCCTCCCAAAAATTACCAACGATAGATCAGCTCCATATACTACGATGACACCTCTCCACCCGTCGACCAGCCGTGACAGTGGGGATCCCACAACGCCAATCACAATGCGGAAACGATGGAAACTTGGAAACAATGAGAGCGACGATCCTTCATAGGACGCCGACCCACTCGAGAAAAGTGTATGGGGGCCACAGGGGGCCAAATGAGGAACAGACTTCTCAATCTAAATCAGCCACCCCCTTGGCTGTACCTGACCACACTAGCCCTTACCAACCCCTGACCAGTAATACCCCACGTACTAGCCTTGGCCCCTTCCGAGGACATAGCCGCACTCGTGCTCATCTTCAAAAGGCCAACTCCCTTATCAGAGAACATTTGTTCATCGTTTATAGCGTCCAACAACTCCTCGAGGCTCAGACATGCCACAGGACGCTGCTGAAGGTCCGGTCGTGGGAATAGAACCTGCGCCCAAATCCACTCCACAATTCAGATCAACCAAGACACGAACGACCACGCATTGAACGTACGGCCATGGTAACGGATACTCTCACGATCGACCGATACGATTCACTTCACATAAGGATGCCCGCGGTGAAGAGTCCGCCTAGAATATGTTACAGCAGGATACTTCCGTTAGCATGCGAGCATCCGTAGATGATACGAATATATAGAGGAAGATGTCATATCCCCCCACAGCCCTGATTATTACATATACTATATCACACTTCTTACACCTCTCAGACTGGATAAGCGGGGAGTCGGCAGCCGCTGCCATATATCTGAGCACAGCAGAGCGGAGGAGTTGAACTCATACACTAGCCGAAAGAACTTCCTTACACAAACTGTAGGTCTTTCCTCTTATCGAATTTGCCACCATCAATAGCGTCCGATATAGGCTTCATAAGCTTAGCAGCATCCTTCATAGCTGAGGCATCACGTCTGTACTACCCACGCTAAAGGTGATAGTAGTATGATTACTCTTAGTAATAACAACGACTACTCCACTCTTGTCATCACTTGCTTGCAACAACCTCACCGTGAGGCCCTCCTCATTAGTACCTACAGGGCGTTCAAACTATATACAAAAATCTGAGAGTTGTGTCGACCACACGTGAGCAACAGGGGTTTTCGATGATGCTGAGTCTCATGAAACCTGTACCACAACTACTCACCTTCAAGACGATCACTGAGGCCGTCGATGAGCTCTATAGGAGTAGAGCTCCGAGAGCATCGATGCCCCCGGTCCAGCCTTGATCATCTT